AACCCTAAGGGGCAGTTCTACTCATGTCCTTAAAAGATTGCTCAGTGAAGTGTTTACAGGCTCCAGGCTCGGAGCCTGTTTAATATATAACAGCAATATTATAAAAACTCTCTACTGTCTAGTTGGAACCAGATTATAGCTGACCCTCCAGTGGAGTGTTGAGAGACTGTAAGTTATACGTCGCATCCACTTCCTAAACAACATGCTTCTGTAAACCACTCTATGAACTTTGAGAAATGACCATGGTTATAGAAAGGTTTCAGGTCTTCTGTTTCAGGTCTATGAATCGTGCTCAATTCGACAGCAATTAACAACAACAAACCATAAAGGAGGCAAATGATCATCCTTCTCACAAGGTACTGTTAGCAGTTTAAACTGCCAGAAAGTGGGGTTTTTAGACTAGCAGCACATTGCCCTACAGACTATGCCACTGCCTGCTGGGTTAGGTAGCGGCAACTGGTTCATTTGGAACATTGTGAATCTGCACTGGTGGAGAAGGGCTGTTATTCAATTGGTACATCTTTCTCTTTGAGGAAGAAATAAATGTAGTATGTAGAGAGGAAGAGAAGGTAGCACATAGCTAAAGAAGGAAAAGAGAGATGATAAGGGAGTAGAAGAGTGAGGCTATGGGAGGAGAAAAGAACTTTCCTGTTACAGTGAGCTGCAGGTGTTAACATTCTTAGGTTTTATGTTGTTGTTAGAGACCGCTGGTGGCCTAGTGATAAGAATCCACACTGCAATCCCAAAGGCATGCGGTTCAAATCCACCAGATGCTCCGTGGGAGAAAGATGGGCAATCACCTCCCATATAATTGACTGCCTCTGAAAACCCATGGGAGGGTCAGCTATGGGTCAGTTCTAACTTCACAGCAAACCACAACATGTTATGTGCTGTTGAGTTAGAACTGACTAATTAATTGCTGGCCCTCCAGTGGGTTTTCAAAGGCTGTAAATCATACAGGAGGAGACTGTCCATCTTTCTCCCTTGTAGCAGTGGCCGATTAAGACCAAATGTGTGATGCCCTACGTTTTAGGTGCCATTGAGTCAAGTATGACTCCTAGTGATTCTATAAACAACATACCTGAATCACCTCCTATCCTGTGCCGTACTCCTCATCTCTGACATATTTGAGCCCATTTCTGTGTCACTGTTGTCAATCCATCTCATTGAAGACCTTCCTTCCCTTTTCTGACCCTCCACATTCCCAATGTGATGTTCATTTCCAAGGAATAGCTTCTCCTAACAACATGCCCAAAGTATGAGAGACAAAGCTTGGCCATCTCTGCCTCCAAGGAGCACTCTGCCTGCACCTTTTCCAACATGTATCAGCTTGTTCTTTTGGGATATTGAGTAATATGGGATATTCTATGTCCTGTGTTGTGGTGGTGGTTGTTAGGTGCTATCGAGTTGAGTACAACTCATACTGACTATATGAACAATAGATCTGAATCCTGTCCTATCCTGTGCCATCCTCACAAACTGACACATTCAAGTCCATTGCTACAGTCACTGTGTTAATTTACCTGGTTGCGGGTCTTCCTCTCCTTTGCTGTCCCTCCAACTTTCCAAGCATGATATCCCTCTCCAAGGAATAGCTACTCCTAGCAATACAGCCAAAGTATGTGAGAAATAGCTTTACTATTTTTGCCTCCAAGGATACACTGGCTGTTCTTTTGGCAGTCCATGGGATATTCAGTACTCTTCTCCAACACCACAGTTCAAAGGCATCAATTCTTCTTCTGTCATCCTTATTCATTGTAAAGCAAGTAACTGAAAAGACCATGGCCTGAATCAGGCACACCTTAGTTCTCAAACTGACTCAATGACACTCAGTAATTTGGAGAGGTTCCTGACTACAGTGCAATATATCTTCTGATTTTTTGACTGCTGGTACCAAGTGTATTGATTGTGGATCCAAGTAAGATGAAGTCGTTGCATATCAATCTTTTCTCCATCCATCATATTGCCTATCAATCCAGCAGAGAGAAATGTTGTGTTCTTGACATTGAGATGCAACCCTTATTGAAGGCTGCAATGTTTAACTTACTGCAGCAAGCACGTTAGTAAGCTACGCTGTGTCATCCACATACTGAAGATTACTGATGAGTCTTCCTCCAATCCTCATAGAGCGTAGCTTCTTGAATAATTTGCTCAAAACACAGATTAAATAGTTATGGAGAAAGGATACACCTCTAACATATACCTTTACTAATTTTAAACCATGCAGGATATCATGCTTGGAAAGGTGAAGGGACAGTGTAAGAGAAGACAATTCTGGATGAAATGGATTGACACAGTAACTGGAGTAATAGAATTAGTTGTATGAGAGACAGTGAGAACGGCTCAGGATAGGACCATTTTCATAGCTACTGTATTTAGGGTCACTATGAGTTACAGGCAACTCTATGGCACACAATAACAACAGCATTCTCTTGCTCCATTCACATCACACAATAGCCTCTTGGTCTAGGTATAATTTTCACATGAAGACAATTAAGTGTTCCAGGACTCCTGTTTTTCTTAATGTTAGCTATGTTATAATCCAGTCAAATGCCTTTGTATAGTCAATAAAGCACAAAGAGACATTCTTCTGATTTTCTGTTTTTAGCCAGGATCCATCTGACATCAGCAATGATATCCCTGGTGCTACGAACGCTTCTAAATCTACTTTGGATATCTGGCAGCTCTCTGAATACCATTCTAGCCCTTTAAAAGTTATTTTCAGCAGTATTTTGCTAGCATGTAATACTAATGATATTGTCCAATGATTTCCACATTGTATTGATCACCTTTCTTGGAAATGAGAATAAATTTGGAACTCTTCCAGTTAGCTATCCTCCAAATTTCCTTGTATTTTCACCTCAGTTAGGTTTTTTTTTTTTTTTTTAAAAAAAAGTACCACATTGGAACTCACTCTGCTTATTAACAAAGAAATGGCTTTCCTTAACTTTCCTTAACCAAATGCACTCTACCAATGTGACCAAGCAGACATGATTGTGGAGCTCTTGATGGGGGTATAGAGAGCAGGGGCATCTATCCTCCCATCTCATCGCTGTCCAGCCAGAACCAACTCTTAGCTGACCTTTCAGCAGGTTTTTGAGGCTGTAAAAGATATGTCATCATTCTGATCTAGCCACTTATGGGTTCAAACTATCAGAGAGATGAAGCCTTTGGGTTAGCAGCACAACTCCCAACTGATGATGCCAACAGGGTAATGACTCCCCAGAACAGTCTCTAAGAACAGTACCTTGAGCCTGATTCAAGTACAGGGTAATATAAAAATTGCACCTCCTCCTCCTCATTCCAAATATCCTATCAGCTTCCTTCCTGTCCAGCAGCTGCAGCCATGTGCAGTGACTGGTGTGATGGCCCTTTAGAATTGTACCCGCATCAGGTGCTCTCCTCTGTTCCCTCCTCCTCCACTATGCCTCTGGCCCTACGTGGTTAACGAATTGCTGCTCAGTGGTGCCCCCTTCAAGTGTTTCCTGGCAGGTGGTCGTGGGATATTTGCCATCCCTTATCTCTACCTCTACAGGCAGCTTCTTTACCTTTAAAATGTGATTTCCAAAATCTCTGTAGATCTTCACTGAAATTAATAATAATAAAAAAATAATGTGATTTCTTAGAAGCATATACCAGGATTGACAGAAATGTAAGACTAAAGTCTGTTTTTCTTTTCTTTTAATTTACCAACTGATGATACAACTCAAGTTTAAAGTCTTTTAAAATAGGAAATATTTAATTTCTGTAAAGACACGTTTTTAAAAGCTGAAACATGAGATTAAAGGACGTTCTCAAGCGTTGGTTTAAAGATGGGAAAAATCAGCTGGTGATGATATGGTACCATTTCTCTCTGTCTAGACAATCATGTGTCAGGGGAGGCTGGCATATTGTTGAACAGGTTTCAGTGGAACTTCTAGACTAAGAAGAACTAGGAAGAAAGGTCTGGCAATCTCCTTTCTAAAATCAGGCAGTGAAAACTCTGTGAATCACAATGGTCTGATCCACAACCAATCACAGGAATGTAATCATAGGTGCTGGGCAGGGAAGCATTTCATTTAGTTGTCCAGTTGCCTTGAGTCAGAGGCCTATTCACTGGCAGCAAATGACGTTTACATTCAACTAAACCTAAGATTTTTCTCACCACACATATTCCCTTTATTGTGAAAGAAAATACTTCACTTAGTAAAGGCCAAGGGAGTGAGGTAGAAAGGACTACATATAGTCTGATCAACCTTATATGCCAGCTTGCTTTAGATTTGTTCAATTTTGGAAAGTCTGTGGGTGCTGAACAAGTAGCTGAAGTCTTCACACCTCACAACATGTTTCTAAGCATTCTTTCATTGGCACGCTCTTCCAGTGCATTCCAAATGGATTCGAGTTCATGTCAACTTTTCAGGAACGCATTTGCAGTAAAAACTTTCTAGGTTGGTCTGGGGTTTTTTTTGTGTGTCTTTTGTTTGTTTGTTTGTTTGTTTTTTTAGCGTTTTTACAGTGAACTAACTGGGCAAAGGTTTACAGAGCAGATATGTTACTTTCTCAGGAATTTTGTCCTGTGACTCTAATACCAAAGGATAATGAGAAAGAGACATTGAAAAACGTTTATTAAAGATTCAAAATGCTTCCCACACAAGGAAAAGATGACCAGAGCCACTATACAATTAGGTTCTGACTTGAAGAACGGAGGTTTGGTTTGGGTTTGTTTGTGCTTTTTTTCGCCCCAAATGCAACCACTTGCACTTTCTTGCTAAAAATACACCACAGTGAGTTTAATTTAAATGATATGCTATGGCAGCTGATATTAGGTTTTAGGTCAAATAACCAATGGCTTCAAAGCCACGTGAGACCGGGTGAACCTCATTAAAAAAATAAGGCTGAAGGGGAGGTAGGAGCACTAGATATCACCGCCCTTGCGGCACTGATGTGGTTTGCTTTTCTGTCCGATGAAGATTTTAATGAGCAAGTTGTTCCTCTTCCCAGACACTCCACTCAATTGTGTTCTAATTATAGAGCTTCACAAAGAAAGCCAAAAGGAGCACCAAGAGAGCCAAGCCCACAGATATCTTCAGCCCACAGTCTCCATGCAGCCTCTGCATCTGCAGCACTAGCCTGGAACTCGCCGCCGAGTCCCGTCGACCTGCAGCCCAGGGGTGGGAGGACGAACTTAGGTGATTCCCACGTCTGTTTCTGAATTCCTAGAGAGAGAGAGAGGCAGGGTGGGGGAAAAACACACAACAGAATTGTAAGATGTAACAAAAGCTTTACTGTCATATTAATCAAGTAAAGATCTTCTTGCATGATCTGTCCATTTATTATGGACACGGGCACATCCCACGATCCTGGTTATTTGATCTAAGCACTGACTCTGGGCCAGCTGGTCCCCACTTAGGTATAAAGGAGTCACGGTTTCTTTCCTAAAGGGCTGGACCAAGTTAAGGAATTTTAAATAGATTATACATGTACTAGCTGACATAGGGGGCTCTGGTGGTGTAGTCTGTAGGGTGTCACGTTACTAACCCAAAGGCTACACCACTTCGGTGTTTGCATCAACTAGAAGCTCTGACAGAGAAAGATGGACAATCTTCTCTCATGTGACCTACAGCCTTGGAAGCCGAATGGAAAGTTACCTGTGAGTCAGTTCTGACTTAACGGCAATGAGTTGGGCTGAGAGAGAGGAGGTGTAGTGGGTGAGACCCTAAACTGCTAACTAAGATGTTAGAGGATCAAATCCACCAGCTGCTCCATATGAGAAAGATGAGGCAATTGGCTTCCTGAAGATGGTAACCTTGGAAACCCAATGTAGTGATTCTCCTCTGTCCTGTAGGGGTGTAGCTATGAGTTGGAATCAGTTTGACAATGAGTTTGGGTTTGGTTTTCTTGCATATTTCCCTTTCAAGTTCTTTAACCAACTCTTTGAGAATAGGGTCCTAAGGTACCTTTGTGTTCTGTGTGGGAGGTTCTGTCTGACCATGTCTTGTGAGGGGAACTTTAACAGCGATGTGGAGTGTGGATCTGGAGGGAAGAGGTGTTGAGAGAAATCAAGTGACAAATTGTGATAATAACTGCAATGGACACCAATAAGGACATATGTAAAGATGATGGCAGAAAGATGGAAAGACTGGAACAAAAGATTTATAATGCAGAAACAACTGGATTTATGTTCAGGTGAGTGGATAATGAGACATGTGGACATGAAAAGAACTTTTACAGCTCCATTTACACTGGCTAATATTGACTTGGAATAGATGTGGGAGAATTCTTGCTTTCACTGTAGGAGACTAATTACAAAATTAATAATGTTGTTAACCACGAGGATAAATCTCTCAACCCCAATGACAGCCAAACCATTATTTACTTCCATGCTTCCCATACATCTGAGTGGCTACCCTGCTGGTCTCCCTGCACTCCAAGCCCTCACAAGGAGGAGCACAGCTGGACGGAAGGGATCCATCCTTCCCACAGCAGGGAGAGGCCAGACCTGGTGCCCCAAAACCTGCCCCAGGCCTTGGGGGAGACTGCTGTCTGGTGGGACAGGTTGTTTGTATGATATTCTGGAGTTAGAACTATAATGGGTTGACAAGCTTTTCACTGATGAAAAATAACTTGAAGGTCTTGAGGATGGGGTATATTCATCAACTTTGGAAGAAAAAGACAATGTCTGTTTTCAGCAGAAATGATAGTGTTCTACAAAAGTGGGGATGCTGCCTAATTAATCTGAATTCTAAGAGCCTAGCACAGATCCAGGTGTAAAGGAGGTATTCAGTAAGTGTTGTGGGATGACTGAGTGAATGAGTGGATTCGCAGACATACTCTCTAGATTAAATTTATAGTAGATTAGGAGGATGTCTCTGTCCCTGGTCATCAAAGTCTTCTGGGATGGACTCAGGAAAGTGGTCTTCAAGAGCATGTGTTGTGGTCTAGGGTTAAAAAATTAATTGCTTCCTAAGTTTAGGTGTACAAGATGAAGATTAAGAAGTTGATTAATTTCTCCTTGGCCTTTTAAAATCACAGATAGCTTTGAGAAACCAATGAAAACTACCTACTTCTTCCTCAGAAAAATGTGGAGGTGCCCCATAGAGATGCAACACAGACACTCTCTCCCAAGAGTCGGTTCCTATACTGTGGGGTCTGAAGCTTATAAGGAGGACTCTCTAGTGTTCCACAAGTTCAAGTGCTCAGCAGCTTAGTAGATAACAGTTTTATTATTTCTATCAAATGTCGCAGAGGGTTTTTTTTTCCAGATGCTCTGGAGCATGGCTTCAGTGCCTGGGCAGTGGTTTTATGAAGCAGAGAATGTATTATAAACTCATCCCACTGCTCAATGCCTTATGAGTCCTGTCTACTTTCAGCCTTCTGCTGCACCAGGAGGCTCAAATCACCCAGTGGCAGCTCCTTAAACTGTAGGCATATAACCAAGGACAAGCTTTCTATGTTGCATAATTTGATATTATTATGTATTCTTCTTTTTTACATTTTATTAAACTAGACAGCAACAGTTTAAACCCATCAGCTATTGTTCTTTTGTCTTCCTTAATCACTGTCCAGCTCTTAGATGTATAGCAAGTGATCAGAAAGACCATGGCCTGAATCACACGCACCACAGACTTTAAACCAACATCATTACTCCTCACTGATTTTGAGAGGTCCCTAACTGCAGACTTTCCCAATACAATAAGTCTCCTGGTTTTCTGGTTGCTTGTACCAAGAGTATCGATTGTAGTGGCAATTTTTGTTGTCTTGATGTTAAGGTATAATTTAGATTGAAGATTGTAATCTTTCATTTTCTGCAGTAAATACTTTAGGTCCTCTTCACTTTTGGTGAGCAAGGTATCATCTGTATAATGCAAGTTGTTAATAAGTCTTCTTTCAATCAATCCTGGTGCCACATTCTTCTTCATAGCCAGCATCTTGAAAAACTTACTCAGCATACAGATTGAATATGTATGTATGGGGAAAGGATATAAGCCTGGTGCACACCTCTCATGATTTTAAACCCTGAAGTTATTTCCTTGTTCTGTTCAGAAAAGTGACTTTTGGTCTATGTATAAATTTTCACATGAGCATCATTAAGAGTTCTGGCATTCCCTTTCTTCTCAATATTAGCTATAATTTTGAGAGCTATAAACACAGTCAAATGCCTTTCCATGGTCAATAAAACACAAACAAAACATCTTTTCAGTATTCTAGACTTCCAGCCAAGATCCAGCAGAAACCATCAATGATACCCCCTGTTCCACAGGCTCTTCTGAACACAACTTAAATTTCTGGTCGTTTCCTGTTGATGTACTGTTCAGCTGTTCTGTGTAATCTTCAGCAAGATTGTACTTGCATGTAATTTCTGTCAACACGGCCATATTTTGTAACTACTAGTTCTTCTTTGTATCCAAATTTTGCATTCTGGTCTCCAATTATTAATCTATATTGATTGCATGCTTAATAAATTTCAGACTGCAAATGTTAGTGGAAATCCTCCATTTCTTCATCTTAGTCTTTAGTGATTGGTACACAAGTGAAAATAATAATTGTATTAACAGGTCTTCCTTATATGTGCATGGATAGAATTCTATCACTCCGATTCATTGCACTTCGGGATAGATCTTGAAATACTCTTTTTGATGATGAATGTGGTACCATTCCTCTTCATTATTCCTGGCATAACAGATCATATGATTGTCTGATTAAAAGTGACCAATATTAGTCCATCTCAGCTCATTAATCCCTAGGATGTCAGTGTCTATGTGTTCCATTTAGTTTTTGCCAACTTACAGTTTTCTCTAGATTCATATGTTACACGTGCCATGCTCTAGTTATTACCGTACATGTTTGCCACTGTTTCTCTTAATTTTGAATCTTGCCACATTAGTAAATGAAGGATTTTAACTGGATGAAAGCTTCATATGATCTGTGTCATTATGACAGACTCTAGGGTGAGGAGGTAGCTCTTCCCCACTTGCATTCTGAATGCCTTCTAACCTGAAGGGATCATCTTCTGGCAATATATTCAACAACATTCCTGTTATTCATAGGACTTTTGAAGGCCTGGTATTTCAGAAGTGAATGCCCAATTCTGCCTGTTAATCTTAGTTTGTCAACTCCAGTGAAACCGGTTCTAGAGTTTATCTTTCAATACAAGTTTCTTAGCCATCTGAATCAGACCTGACCATGTGGATGGATGGGAAAATGCCAATAAGGCTTGTTAGCCTATCCTCAAAGGAGATCGGCCAGTTTTAATAATCTATAAGGGGACTGGCTAGTCTTGCTAATAAATTGAACAACTTTAGCTGCATAATCTTCCTGTAGGTTAAGAAGAATGAGACCTCTCCCCACTACCAATAAAGAAACCTCACTATCAGGAAAAGAGCACGCATGGCTGAACTAAAGGCCTGGCGTGAGATGGGGTTACTTTGGGACTGTTACACAATTGGAACCAGAGCTAAGAGCTTTTGCTCAAGTTTGTTGGGCAACTAGGGGTGGGAGGCCATAATTTGCAGGGATGAGAACTTTATAACACTCGGGTGCCTGTGAGCACATTTTGGAAACTGCTTTGACTGTATTCTGCTAATAACTTGGATTACAACCTTTTGACTTCCCTAACATGGTTCTGGGTGGTCTGTGAGCTATCACATTGGATTTTGAACCCAGCAAAACACTAAGTTTGGTGTTGAGATGAGTAGAAAGAAGAATGGGAGTATGGGAGACATAACTGACCTCATGAATATTGGTTTTGTGTTACTGATGTTCTTGGTGGGACAGTTCCCCTTTGTGAAGTTGGTGAAGGTCAGATATGGCCATCCCCATGGTCCTTTTTCTTTTCACACCTGTTTACAATGGGTGAGCTTGCTAGCATTTGAAATACTGGTGACATATCTTCCAGGAACATGGAAGTCACTATAGCATGGCAAACTGAGAGATAAATGGTGGTGAGAGGCCCAGAGTTGCCCATTTATGAACCATTGGGGAACATCTTGGCTACATACTCTACTCATAAGTCCTAACCTACAATGAAGAAGTCAAGTCTACCAAGAAGTTCACCTATCTTAATGTCTGTGCTCTCAATCTGTGTGTTGAACTTTCAGGGGAGCAGTTAGCCAAAACTCTCTAATACTGTCAAGTTGTTGTCAAGTCAACTTGACCTCAGGGTAAACCCATGAATGTCAGAGTAGAAGAGGTTTTTAGTGACTGACTTAATAAAAGT